CGATGGCGACGGATTCCCCTCTCCAGAGCCTGGAACGGACTCCAGATCAGCCCTCCCGAGAGAGATTAGGGCTTGGCGGCGGCTCCATATCGTAAAACGTGACGAATCCTTCTTCCTATTTTTTCCACGAACGTGAATATATAGAGTTGGAGTTGAGGTCGGTGGAGCCTCAGAGGGCCCACGAGACAGGGGGCGCGCCCTAGGGGAGTGGGCGCACCCCCACCCTCATGGACAGGTTGTGGGCCCCTGGTGTTGATTCTTTCGCCAGTATTTTTTATAAATTCCAAAAATATTCTCCGTGAAGTTTCAGGTCATTCTAAGAACTTTTATTTCTGCACAAAAATAACACCATGGCAATTCTGCTGAAAACTGCGTCAGTCCAGGTTAGTTCCATTCAAATCATGCAAGTTAGAGTCCAAAACAAGGTCAAAAGTGTTTGGAAAAGTAGATACGATGGAGACGTATCATGCCACTGTTGGGGAACACAGTATTTCAAAAAAAAATTCTACGATCACGCAAGATCTATCTAGGAGATGCATAGCAACGAGAGGGGAGAGTGTGTCTATGTACCCTTGTAGATCGAAAGCGGAAGCATTTAGTAACGCGGTTGATGTAGTCAAACGTCTTTGCGATCCAACCGATCAAGTACCGAACGCATGGCACCTCCGCGATCTGCACACGTTCAGCTCGGTGACGTCCCTCGTACTCTTGATCCAGCTGAGGCCGAGGGTAAGTTCCTTCAACACGATGGCGTAGTGACGGTGATGATGAAGTTACCGATGCAGGGCTTCGCCAAAGCACTACGACAATATGACCGAGGTGGAAAACTGTGGAGGGGGGCACCGCACACGGCTAAAGATCAACTTGTGTGTCTATGGGGTGCCCCCTCCCTCGTATATAAAGGAGGGGAGGAGGAGGAGGGCCGACCACAAGGGGCACGCCTAAAGGGGGGAATCCTACTCCTAATAGGAGTAGGTTTCCCCTTTTCCTAGTCCTAGTAGGAGAAGAAGGAAGGAGAGGAAGAAGAGAAGGAAAGGGGGGCCGGCCCCCCTAGTCCTAGTCCAATTCAATTTGGACTAGGGGGGCGCGCGCCACACCTTGGCATGCCTCCTCTCTTCCACCATTAGGCCCATGAGGCCCAATAACTTCCCAGGGGGGTTCCGGTAACCCCCGGTACTCTGAAACGACCCGAACCATTCCGGTGTCCGAATGTAGCCTTCCAATATATGAATCTTTATGTATCGACCATTTCGATACTCCTCGTCATGTCCATGATCTCATCCAGGTCTCCGAACAACCTTTGGTACATCAAATCACATAACTCATAATACATATCGTCATCGAACGTTAAGCGTGCGGACCCTACGGGTTCGAGAACTATGTAGACATGACCGAGACACATCTCCGGTCAATAACCAATAGCGGAACCTGGATTCTCGTATTGGTTCCTACATATTCTACGAAGATCTTTATCGGTCAAACCGCACAACAACATGCGTTGTTCCCTTTGTCATCGGTATGTTACTTGCCTGAGATTCGATCGTCGGTATCATCATACCTAGTTCAATCTTGTCACCGGCAAGTCCCTTTACTCGTTCCGTAATGCATCATCCCATGACTAACTCATTATTCACATTGCTTGCAAGGCTTATAGTGATGTGCATTACCGAGAGGGCCCAGAGATACCTCTCCGAGAATCGGAGTGATAAATCCTAATCTCGATCTATGCCAACTCAACAAACACCATCGGAGACACCTGTAGAGCATCTTTATAATCACCCAGTTACGTTGTGACGTTTGATAGCACACTATGTGTTCCTCCGGTATTCGGGAGTTGCATAATCTCATAGTCATAGGAACATGTATAAGTCATGAAGAAAGCAATAGCAATAAACTAAACGATCATAGTGCTAAGCTAACGGATGGGTCTTGTCCATCACATCATTCTCTAATGATGTGATCTCTTTCATCAAATGACAACACATGTCCATGGCTAGGAAACTTAACCATCTTTGATTAACGAGCTAGTCAAGTAGAGGCAAACTAGGAACACTTTGTTTGTCTATGTATTCACACATGTACTGAGTTTCTAGTTAATACAATTCTAGCATGAATAATAAACATTTATCATGATATAAGGAAATATAAATAACAACTTTATTATTGCCTCTAGGGCATATTTCCTTCAGTTGTAAATGTTAACATGAACACATAAAGTATGTTTGCCCGCGTCCAGATGTTGCTTGATGTCAACAAGGAGCTCGCTTGTTTCGCTATAATACACCCTGAGGGAGACGAGATGTTGAACTTTCGTGCAAAGTACGAGAATGTTCCACATTTACATGAGGTTTGTGGCAAGATGGGGCATGTTTACACTATGGAGCATGAGCCAAGTGCTTCCTGCTTTGGTAAGTGGCTCGTAGCCAATGCTTCATAGAATAGGGTGCAAGAGATGGAGGAAGATAACTGTCCTGGCCCTGGACATGGATGGCATACTGCTCGTGGAGGGCAGGGTTGGGATAGTTTATACAAACTTGTAGCCCATGAGCATGAGAGAAATGATTCCCACAAAGGACTTCAAGTGATGTTGGATTTGGGTGATCACTCAAGAAGTTTTCGACCCCAAGTATGTTGGGTTGCCTGTGCAGAAGGCAGAATGCATAAAGGAGGGTTATAGAGTGTTCAATCCAGGCTTAGTAAAAGGCTCATGGATTCGAGTGAAAGATACATGGCATCCCGTAGTAAGGAAATTCTTATCACATCAATCTCTAAGGCTATACATACCTTTTTGATGAGTGTATTTAAGATCCCATATTGTTTTTGTGATGATCTTACTAGAATGGTGTTATTATTGGTGGGAAGTTGAGAAAGAAAGAAGGAAATTGGCATGGGTTGCCTGGGACAAGCTTGTTCTACCAAAACAAAAGGGAGGGCTTGGTTTCAGAGACATGAGGGCCTTCAACCAAGCTCTCTTGTCCAAACAAGTGTGGTGGTTACTAAATCATTCAGACATCCTTTGTTCATGTTTGTTAAAAGCCAGGTACTTTCCCAATGCCAACCATGTTGATAGTGTTTCCCGGGAATGCCTCTGCTGTTTAGGAAAGACTTGAACATGGTCTTCAACTACTGAAGAAATGTCTTATCAGGAGGGTGGGGAATGACACATCTATTCAGACCTGGCAGGACCCATGGATTCCTAGGGGGGCCATCATTCCGCCCTATAACCTCGAAGCTACAATGTAGACTCAATAGAGTTTCGGACAACAATGCCTGGATTCCAAACTTGTTGAACATACACTTTTATCTCGCTGACGTGGTGGTCATCCAAAAAATCCGTACATCACCTAGACAGCAGGAGGATTTCCTCGCGTGGCAGCCATACCCCAATGGGTGCTTTGTGCTCGTAGCGCATATAAACTTGCGATGGAGGCACACGAAAATTCTTTCTCGTTGGAAGCCTCTAGCTCTTGCCCTGACCTAAAGTTGTGTAACTTGGTCTGGCAGGCGGTGGTGCCCCATAGGATGCAGGTCACAGCATGAAGGTGATCTCCGGGGTGCTAGCTACCATGTTGTGTAAGTGTCGCCATCACCTAGCTCGACGCGTGATGTGCCCACTATGCGGCAAGGCAAACTAGGGTACATATCATGCAGCTATGTTATGGGATTTGATGACCGAAGTCTGGCCTATACCCAATAAGGAACAAGTTTTGTACACCGAAGAAGAATGGTTGTTAAACTTTTTGGCACTGCATTCAAGTGACATTCGAGATATGATCATCATGTTAATATGGAGGATTTGAAACCTTCAGAATGACCTGGTTCATGGTAAAGAAATTGCACGGATGAAAGCTTTGAGGAGTTTCTTATGTAGCTACCTTAACTTGGTCCATAATATATAACATCTCATAACTGAGCAAGTAATCAAATGCAAGTCTCTTGTTAATGATGTCGTTAAGGTGCAGAGTGTGAAGGTTCTTCTGCCGGCGCCCCCATGGACACTGCCACCAGCGGATTGGTTTTCTTTATCAGCGGATGGGTCTTTGTCCTCAAAGGATGAATCAGCAAGAGCGGGCATAATCTTGAGGAACAACAATTGTGAGGTTACTTTTGCTTCATACCAGCTGATGTTCTATTGCAACAATGCTCTCGAAGCGCAGATTCAAGCAATAATGATAGGAATGTCACTGGCCCTTCAATAGTCTAGCCTTCCTGTTGCACTGGTCGGACTCGATGATAGCTCTCTCTTTTATGTCAGTGCTTCCCTTGCCAAATCACCATTTGGTAATCTTGTTAAGGAAATCAAGAATCAAATGGTAGAACGGGAGTTTAAACCAATTGAGATAGCTAGGTCCCATAATAGGGTTTCACATTGTCTCGCTAATTATGCTCGTACCGCTCATAACACCACCTGTTGGTTGCAATAAGGCCACCATTTCATTCACAATCTTGTATTAGCAGATTGTAACCATCTGGCCATGGAATGAAATCTCGTGGTTACCCGGGAAAAAAAACTAGGTTGATAACACGTGTGTTCCCGTTAAAACTCAACTCCCGAACTGTTGTTTCACTGATGCAATGGAACAGGCAGCTTCGGCTCTTATTTGCCTACCCAAAAGAACCATCGCCTGAATACGCGACCAAATCGTTCAAAATTCCGTCCGTTGTACGTATCAAGGCTATATGTTCAGTGGAATATCAAACGTGTTGTTGTCAGGTGATCCACCAAATAAGTGCGTCAAGAGGTAACTGGTTATCCTTCATCATGTTCAAGTAGCCGAAAGAAAAAATGCTCATCAGGGCTGGATCGTTACAACCATCCTGCCAGTATTATTTTCTCAGACGTTCCGCCAAAAATCCAAGAGCTCGCCGCAAGCGAACCCAAGACTAGGAAACATATACAAATATAGAAGACAAACTCTTCTGTGCTCGTAGTCGCAGCATTTTATGGAGCACAAATGTCAAATTAAGCTAGGACAGAAAGGTATGCCTGCTCCCTGGCTCTACGATGATGGTGCCGGTGCCAACTTCTTGGGTGGTGGATTTCCTCCAGCAAGCAGCACGTACGCATAGAAACAAGCCATCGCAGTGCTGCACCATTTTGAAGAAAGAGTAACAATACATCAAGGTCTTCAATTTCCACGAGAAAAATGAAGGGGGTTATACATCAACAGTAAGGTACCTCAGTGAAGCGTAGAAGCCCCAAGGAAGAATTCTATTTGTCTGCAAGACAGAACTATGATTAACTCACTGTTATGAAAGGAATGATCCATACAAATGGAACGTGCACGGTAGTTACCAGTAAATATGCATGAGAATACTTCCATGCAAGGACAGCAGAAATTGCTAAAACAGAGCAAATTGAACATGTCAATAAGCAAACATGTAATACAGAACAAGCAAACATATAATACACCAAGAATATGGAATGTTATCTCACCTGCTTGGCCCAATATAAACAGGAAGCTGGATCTTCCACTCCTCCAGAAGTTTAAACTGAGGGTACCAAGAAGGAGCGTAGCAAGCCCAGGTGCAACACCTAGGACAAGACTTACAGTACTCCTAGAGAAGAAGTAGCCTAGAAGCCCCATGCAGAACAAAAGACCACCTGCACTACCAAGTGAAATTATTTGTTATATGCAGACACATCCAAGCGAACAGGGTTCATGTTTTCAGTGCTACTTTCTACAGGGTACCATTCAAGACTGATGAAACCGTTAATGAAATAAGGAACATTTCCTGTTTGAAGTATGACTGTAAAAGAAAGCAGTCATGCCACTCTCATTTTCAACTGGTTTAGGATTATTTATCATACCTATATAGCAAGGGCAATCTCTGACATTCTTTAGAATTTCTGCTATATAAGGAAAATTGCAGCATTTCTGAAACTTGCAGGATCAATCAACACTATAGCAGTGAGTTTGGGTAATTATGCAGTGAGAAGCTCATCTTTACTTTCAAACAGTTACGACCTTACTGCTCACTTTCATTAACAAGCTGAAGAAAATAATATCGCTTTACAATGTATACTGGTAATTCTCCTAAAAGCGAAACTGGTATTTGCAAAATCAAACCCACCAGGAAACTTCTGCGGCAGGATTTTACATTCACCCACATGCTTATTCAATTAGAAAATGACAGGATTTTGCCTTTGTTGTAAAAAGAGTTACTTACCGAAAGGAATCCCAAAACAAAAATCATGGATCTTAGCACTCCTCTTTTGGGGAGTAACATCTTCAACTGCTGCTACAAGTTCACCTGCTTGATCTGATCTCGAATTCAACTCTTCAGCTCGAGTGTTTTCATTAGCACATTTTGTTGCAATTTTGGCACCAAAACCAAATGGCTTCCTACCCACTGCACTGGTAGAAACTGAAAGCTGAGGCAACAAAATATGTTAAAAAGGTAAAGTCAACCTTTTTTGAGTTTTGCATTATTTTCTCTAAGAAACAAATCTTCTGGTCATTATACCCAAGCTAATCCTGTGGAAGAGCATGGCTTGATACTGCAGGATATAATGTACTACCTCCGTCCCAAAATAAGTGTCTCAAGGTTAGTACAACTTTGCAGTTTGCAGTAAAGTTAGTACAAAGTTGAGACACTTATTTTGGGACGGAGGGAGTACTTTTTTGCAGAATATTATAACACCAAAATGCATCTCAAGACTTGTGCCACCAAAATGCATTTACTACCAATGGTGATATGTATCTAGATGTATTTTAGTTCTAGATACATCCATTTCTGCGACGAGTAATTTGGAACGGAGGGAGTACAACAGAACAATTAAACCAGCTAAGGTTCTCATCTCAAAGGTCCTCCCAATAAGGGCAGAAATACATGCACTGATTAAACGCTTGACTATAAAAATCGGAAAGCTTGATCATGTGGTTATATATTTGGTCCATGCTAGAAGAACAAACTGTAAACTACAGAAGTATGAATTCAAATGTTTATTGTTCCAAATTTCTACAAGCAGATTCAGCAACCATTTTCTTGCCTCTTTGTGATCTAATTTTCCTTAGACAACGTGCACGCACCATCAATGATCAAACTACCAGATGCCTGTAAATGGAAAACTTCCCCTTACTACACCTACTAAATTGTCAAGTGCACATAAACTCGATATTTCTTCTTTATGAAAATCACAGAAAAACTGGTGTATTTTACACAACAACAAAATATTCTAGTGGTCAATTGTCAAGAACTTATAAAACAACAGTAACATGTTCTTCAGATGAGTAGAGTGTCATCCAATTCCAAACACAAGAAAATATAACAGGGTATGAATGAATTACCCAAAGATAGTGTTTACTGTCTGGATCAGGGTAATACCTTTAGTGAACCGGCGAGAGGGTGACGTGGCCACCGGCAGGAGGAGGGGACTCTGAAGGCTCCATGCCTCCGAGCGACTGTGGCCGATCCACGGAGCTGCGCCGCCGCTACCGCCATGTGGGATTGCGATGGTGAAACAGGACTTTTTACCATTTGCCCTGAAGTTGGTGCAACTTTGTTGATTTATTTGGCCAAATTGGTGTGCCGCCGTTTCAAATGCCCTGAAGTTGATGTGCCAATCAATGAGTTCCCGACATGTGTGATACAAAATGAAGTACTCACTTAAATCTAACCCACCCCACCCCACCCCCCTCCCCCCTTTTCCACAAGCATATATGGTTTGCACCTGAACGGCAGCCACGCAGCAGGAGCGCGTATATGCTCACTTTCTCATAAATTTTGTCCAGTTTTTCCCACAAAAATTATTTGATCACAGGAAAACAAGAGTCTCCTTAATTAGAAATAAAAACGCTAAGAATTTTTTTCATGGCATCTATGTCGAATAACGAGTTTCTCATCTAGGGTTTCCACGAGGGATTCAACCAATCAAGGAACTCGTTAGAGAGGAAAATATAAGGGGGGGACGGAGCATACCTTGCCGTCGCTGTCGCCCTGGCTGCCGGACTTGGACCGAGGTCGAGGGGGCGTCGGGGCAGCGACTGAAAGAGAGGGAAACGAGAGACGAGGAAGGAGGGTTGGAGGGAGGAGAGATCCCAGGATCTGTTCGCGGCGGTGCGGGGCCTGTCCTGTGGGCAGACCTGGAAATTAACCAGGGGCGGTATGGTTATTTCAGTCATCCCGAGGGTTAAAAAGTTTAGCAATTGATCCTCTGGACCAAAATTTATCCAAGGAATGTGTCACACTCACGGTCGTTAAAGTGCGACTCTTCTTCCTTCTCTCCCGTGCCCTTCTCTCCCGTCTTCTTGGCCACGCTTGCTACCTTGCACAGTTCGTGCTTCTTCTTTCCTCCTCGACGTTTCTTTTTTTTTACCGGAAAAACTTCCAATCTATTCTTCTTGAATCATGATAGTACAACGAACACTAGAAATAATAAAAATTACATCCAAATCCGTAGACCACCTAGTGACAACTACAATCACTGAAGCGAGCCGAAGGTGCGCCGCTGTCATCGCCCCTCCCTCGCCGGAGCCGGAGAAACCTTATTGTAGTAGACAGTCGGGAAGTCGTCGTGCTAAGGCCCCGTAGAACCAACGCACCAGAATAGCAACCGTCGCAGATGAAGAGTGTAGATCAAAAGGATCCAATCTGAAAACACACGAACGAAGACAAAACGACGAACAAATCCGAGCAAATTCACCAAAGACGGATCTGCCGGAGATACACCTCCACACGCCCACCGATGATGCAAGACGCATCACCAGGACGGGGGGCTAGGCAGGAAGACCTTTATTTCATCTTCAGGAAGCCGCCCCCGTCTCGCATTCCTAAATACGACACAAACCCTAACAAAGCTCGAGAAAAGATCTAAAAACGGAGCCCTCCCACCGGCAAGGGCCGAGATCCACTCCGCCTCCATGGCCATAGGGCCACTGAAGATGGGACGGATCGGCGCTGGCGCCGGCAGGAGGCAGAAAGCTAGGGTTCTAGGGAGGCAGCGGCTAGCTCCGGAGAAGAATTGACCTGGCGGATTAGATTCCTCGACGTTTCCTTGGCGCATCAGATGATAAAAAACCTGTCGTGCCTAAAAAATGTTTTTATGGTATTTTAGGCTAAAAGATAGTGCTCCAACAGATGATATATCTTATCACGTGTCAAAAATTGCCTCCTCTCCAAATTTGTAACACCTGTGCGGCTGCATAAAAAACCAAATACAACGCACATGCTACCAACCGTCACACTAAAGTTTTCCGTTGCCTGCCCGCTGCCCTCCCACGACCGTCGTCGGTCACGGAATAGAACTTCGATGTGCACGCTTCATCTCCTGCCGTCGGTCGAATGCGGCCCCCAACCACCAACACTGCCCCTTCCTCCCCTTTGGCTTATTCTCCGCCTTCTCGGCCTTCCCCCTCAAGCGCCATCCTGTCCTCGTCCTCTCCACCTTCGCCTTCTCCGACCAGCTCGCTAAGCTTGAGCATGTGCTCAGCATCACGAGGACGCCGACGTGCCACACCACCCCATCCCGAGCCGACAGGGATGAGCTGATCCCACCGTTGTTCATGTTGGATCCAGCCGCGAAGAGGAGAGCATGGGGTGGCAGGGTCCTAATGAAGCACGTGGGTTGTGATTCATGGTCATCGTGTACGATCCGGCCGGCACCGTGCGCCTCTGGGTCAAGATCACGGTGTTCAGTCCCTTTGTTGGTGTGTGTTGGCAGTGTTGTTGTTTGCTTTATGCTCTCATAGTTGATATCACCTCTAGGCACGAGGTCATTGCACACAGAGGAGCACAAGGGGTGTTGGGGTTAGGCCAACTCCAATGCGTGACCCAAATGGTCCGGTCGCGCCTTTTGGGGCTAAACGGATAGAAATTGCAGCCCAACGTGCGGGAGCAAATGGATAAGTGTTCGTTTTTTGTCCGCTTTCGACCCATTCCCGGCCCAAATTTAGGTCGCATTTGCGTCGAAACGGACAGCGCACAGATGGGCGGGATGCGTACCCTTGTCCTCACCTGGCCCGCTTGTCGAGGGTGCAACTCCCTCTTTTCTCTGGCTGCCCCTCGCCTGCCCCCCTCCCCCGCCATAGCTACCGCATCCGGTACCCAGGAAGCTACGACTACCGGCGATGCCCATCGACCCCAACACCTTCCGATAGGCGCTGCATAGCCGCCGGCCGCGAACGCCAACCTTGCTTGCTGCCCTGTGAGGGGAGCCCGAGGTGCTCTTCTCGGCCGCGTCTCCACCACAACCGCAAGGTGTTTGATACTTTTCTCACAAGGTACCATGGACAGTGGGGATGATTATTTTTTCCACAACTTCATTTGTTCATTGGATGACGAAGAGCTTGTGATCGATGCATTGGTCGTCAATGACCACATTGCTAGGCAACTGCCTCGGTTAGGGGATCAATCCCAGGGCATGCTCCAGCCTTGAACCGCAATAGGTAGAGCGGCCACGACCTTCTCTATATTGATTACTTTGAGAATGTCGCGCTCTTCAAACCACATCAATTCCGCCATCTCTTTCATATGACGAGACATGTGTTCAATCGTATTCGGGGAGGAGTAGTTGAAGGAAATATGCCCTAGAGGCAATAATAAAGTTGTTATTTATATTTCCTTATATCATGGTAAATGTTTATTATTCATGCTAGAATTGTATTAACCAGAAACTTAGTACATGTGTGAATACATAGACAAACAGAGTGTCCCTAGTATGCCTCTACTTGACTAGCTCGTTAATCAAAGATGGTTAAGTTTCCTAGCCATATACATGTGTTGTCATTTGATGAACGGGATCACATCATTAGAGAATGATGTGATGGACAAGACCCATCCGCTAGCTTAGCATTATGATCGTTTAGTTCTATTGCTATTGCTTTCTTCATGACTTACACATGCTCCTATGACTATGAGATTATGCAACTCTCGAATACCGGAGGAACACCTTGTGTGCTATCAAGCGTCACAACGTAACTGGGTGACTATAAAGATGCTCTACAGGTGTCTCCGATGGTGTTTGTTGAGTTGGCATAGATCGAGATTAGGATTTGTCACTCCGATTGTCGGAGAGGTATCTCTGGGGCCTCTCGGTAATGCACATCACTATAAGCCTTGCAAGCAATGTGATTAATGAGTTAGTTGTAGAATGATGCATTACGGAACGAGTAAAGAGACTTGCCAGTAATGAGATTGAACTAGGTATGATGATACCAACGATCGAATCTCGGGCAAGTAACATACCGATGACAAAGGGAACAACGTATGTTGTTATGCGGTTTGACTGATACAGATCTTCGTAGAATATGTAGGAACCAATATGATCATCCAAGTTCCGCTATTGGTTATTGACCGGAGATGTGTCTCGGTCATGTCTACATAGTTCTCGAACCCGTAGGGTCCGCACGCTTAACGTTCGATGACGATTTGTATTATGAGTTATGTGATTTGATGTACCGAAGATTGTTCGGAGTCCCGGATGAGATCACAGACATGACGAGGAGTCTCGAAATAGTCGAGAATAAAGATTGATATATTGGACCATGTTATTCGGACACCGGAAGTGTTCCGGATAGTTTCGGATAAAACCGGAGTGCCGGTGGGGTTACCGGAACCCCCCGAGGAAGTAATGGGCCTTAGTGGGCCTTAGGGGAGAGAGAGAGGGCAGCAGCCATGAGGTGGTGCCCCCCCAAGGGGAGTCCGAATAGGACTAGGGGAGGGGGCGCGGCCCCTCTTTCCCTCTCCCACCCCCTCTCCTTCCTTCTTCTCCTACTTGGACTAGGAAAGGGGGGGCGATTCCTACTTGGAGTAGGATTCCCCCCCCCCTTGGGCGCGCCCCTTAGGGTCGGCCGGCCTCCTCCTCCCCTCCTTTATATACGGGGGAGGGGGCACCCCATAGACACACAAATTGATCTTTAGCCGTGTGCGGTGCCTCCTCCACAGTTTTACACCTCGGTCATATTGTCGTAGTGCTTAGGCGAAGACCTGCGTCGGTAACTTCATCATCACCGTCAACACGCAGTCATGCTGACGGAACTCACCCTCGGCCTCAACTGGATCAATAGTACGAGGGACATCATCGAGCTGAACGTGTGTCGCGGAGGTGCCGTGCGTTCGGTGCTTGATCGGTTGGATCGCGAAGACGTTCGACTACATCAACCGCGTTACTAAACGCTTCCGCTTTCGGTCTACGAGGGTACGTAGACACACTCTCCCCTCTCGTTGCTATACATCTCCTAGATAGATCTTGCGTGATCGTAGGAAAGTTTTTAAAATACTGTGTTCCCCAACAGTGGCATCTGAGCCAGGTCTATGCGTAGATATTATATGCACGAGTAGAACACAAAGAGTTGTGGGCGATAATAGTCATACTGCTTACCAGCATGTCATACTTTGATTCTATGGTATTGTTGGATGAAGCGGCACAGACCGACATTAGATGACCATGTTCATGAGATTGGTTCTACCGATGTGCTTCGCACACAGGTGGCTAGTGGGTGTCTGTTTCTCCGGCTTTAGTTGAATCGATTTTGACTACG